GACAATATAGAAGTTTTTGCTGCTGGTTAACCGGGAAATCAACCTGGTTGAGTAGAAAAACGCTGTTGACCAACTTCCGAAAGTGAATTTCGTCAGCGAAAATATTTCAATAGGCAAATTAATAATAATATATATATATATATATGTGTGTGCGTGTGTGTGTGTGTGTGTGTGTGTGTGTGTGTGTGTGTGTGTGTGTGTGTGTGTGTGTGTGTGTGTGTGTGTGTGTGTGTGTGTGTGCGTTTGCGTGTGCGTGTGCGTGCGTGCGTGCGCGTGTGTATAATGCGAATAGTTGTAATTCGCGGGATTGAGCAGAACACGTATGAGCACTTTTCGGCGCGTCAAACGGCATCGGAAGCGTTTTACGGTCGCTGCACATCGCAATTAAGACAAGTTCGGCGGCTTTGCGGGAGCGGCAATATGCGTACAATACGGACATGAGCTATGTTGTTCATCATTACCAAACACGCCTTCGCTGCAAGCTCTACAGGCGAAAAACGCGCGCAGACAAATCCCTAGGATCTACCCCCGCTATAGTGTTTCGGGAATGTATACGCGGGCGCGATTAAAGGGTTATTTTTTCGCGCGGACGCGTTGCTCGCACCGGCGGTTAATTGGTTTCATCTTGCTGTTTTTTCTCGCGCTCGTCTGCGTTGGTTGGTCGTATCAAGCTGTTATTTCGCTACAATGTAACTTGACCCTTCCTGTGATTACTAGCAGTAGATCTAGCATACCCCGAACTGCTACGTCTTTACGCTTTAATTGGTCGCCGGGATCTGTGACTCGGTAATTGCTAAGGAAGGGTCTAGCTGCTGACTCTGCCCTCATTTCTCTCTGACGGAACATCACGTATGCTCATGTGCAATGTGTGTCTGCGTGCTAGTGCGACGTGTGCATGCGCGCGTCACGTCCTGATAGACAGGAAGACAGTGAGGCAGACAAGCAGACAGACATATATATATATATATATTGTATACTATATATATATAATATATATATATATATATATAATCCAAGAGCTACATAATAGCGAGTTCATCATATTCTATTATGTACTCTTGATATAATATCATGCTGCTGCTAGATACATAAATAGATAGAAAGAATAGAAATAAAATAGATTAGATAGATTAGACTGGATGATAGATAAAAAGAGTAGATAGATAGATACGAAGGAGAATAGATAATAGATAAATAAATAAATATATAGATGCTATTAGTATAGAAAACTATATACTAGATAGATAATAAATAAATAAATAGATAGATGGATAGCATTAGGTAGATAGATAGATAAATATAGATAGATAGATAGAATAGCAATAGATAGATACAGATAATAGATAGATAGATAGAATAATAGATAGATGATGATATGATAGCTCAAGAAACGTATTCCTAGGTTAGAAATTACCGTTTAAACATTGCTGCAGCTAAACACCGTGGTTGTTATTTGCCAGAGTAGTCGCAAAGAACACTTCACATGTGATAGACCAAATGAATCAGGTATACATCCACCTTCTGGTAACCATCAGTGCGCACGATGCGCTGGGGGTACTTACGGGGTTACAGCAACTTTTGAACGAATGCAAAACTAAACTGTCATGAATTTGCACCATGTTTGCTATCATTCCGACTGGGAACTAAAATCCACAATGATCGAACAAAGGAATTAAATGATCTGCGGGTCCTCATGTAAACCACTCTACATCAGAACATTGTTCATCTAAGTTTTTACAAAGTGGCGCAGACATTCGTGAACCATCGTTTTCACTTGCTTTGGGTGTTAACTTCCGTCGAGAGCTATCGCGCAGCTATTGTACTATTCCGAGTATTTTTCTACGAGTCTTGTCCGTTTCGGGTTTCCGTGCCTCGTAAACATGCGGGTAAAGGCTGATCTGGACGAAGTTGACGTATGTGTGAGGATATTAGCAGATTATACATTAATTAAGAGATGCCATTCTTAGCTTTTAGAGCAGACAAGCTTGACGTTAACGTTCATGTTTTCAAAACAAGGGCAAGTCAAAGGGTGGTAATAGAATAGTTTATTTGGAATATACAGAGTTATTCATCTGAGACGATCTTGCGCCGGATATCCGCGCGAAGCGCTCAAACGCGCGCGTAGCGCCACTGTTGCAATTTTCCGCTGCGCTCTCCCAACGCCAGTATCCGTCCTTTCCTAGGAGAAAGGGGAAAGCGCGGCTTTTTCGCTGAATTGAGCAGTCTCCCAGTGGCATACGAGGATCGCACTACCCAGTTAGGTACGAGGACTGGCCTAGAAAATCGCGTCCCGCCCAATTTCTTAGTTCGCCTACTAGGCGCCGCTTTCTTGCGTTATAACGAAGTTTTTGGTACCATTGTAACAATATATAAGCGCTGATGGATAGCGGTTGACTGCTGAGCTTAGAGGATACGACTATATAGGCAACAATACAACATGTCTTCGCTATTGCTTAATAAATCCAGTTTACAGTTAACGTTTCATTGGTCGACTTCCTATAATCTGCTATTGCTATCTCTGCCATAGTTACACTCCTCATCAAACTAAAGATTTCAACATCGCGTGCAGAATGCCTAACTTAACAGTGGAAGTTGAATTGTAAGTGTTCCGTAAGATTCATAACGGTGAAATCCGGGTAGGTGCTCTGACTCGGACGCCAGAGATAGAAACATGAGTCCAATAAAACCAGATGTGCCTCTCTCAGTGATTCTACACGGCACCCTATAGTATATATGAGTATCTAACACGATCCCCCAATGCGAGCATCGAATTGTATCCACACCTACGAATACTTCTAACTTACAAGTACATGTTAACAAATACATTACTAGTAATACTACTAGAAATTTTTTTAAAGAAAAAAATAAAACTATACTAAGTACCAAGGACTACTACAGTTATACTCAGTACTAGTACCTAGCTTCACTACCAGGAGCAACTAATGACAAAACTGTGTTACCGGTAACTAGCAAGTTACTAATACTTAATAATGACGACCTCCTGTATAGTGTTACTAGTACTCCTACTAAATATAAAAATAATGTGCTAAGCTAGAATACGAAATCCTATTACGTACCAACTCTTCATGTCTTCATATAGCATAGGCTTGACTCTCTTTGACCTCATTATTGTCCGAGCTTCCTGTAAATTCGGTGCGAAATCCTACGTCCAACGTACGCCTGCGGCTCGCATTGCTCTCGCGGCCGCTGTTGCACGCTTACACTTAATATATATATTGCAGTAGGAAGGCGTGCCTGCCCAAAATCGCTCGACGCTCACTTCATTTGAAACGTTTCACAGCACGATATACAACATTCAACAGCTTCCATCTTTGTTTCGCCTTGAACAACAGTATTTACTTGTTATAAAAATAATGTTCTGTTGCGTAACCCGAGCTGTGTCATGCGAAATCACACAAAGACTTGCGAATTCTCGCGTTCGCAACCTTGCCAGTATGGAAAATGGCTGTCATCCCAACACTGCAACGTTTTTGCAACGTTCAATGGCGAGGCCTCGTACGGCGAGTTGGAAAGCAGGCGCCGCCTGCGCGCCCGCCATATAAGCCATTAGACTGCGCACTCGCTTCCAGCTCTCGGCTTAGTCTGAGTCACATCGATGGGTAATCGAGGTGGGATGAGTCCACAGTATATATAGCCTTTGTCCTTGCAAGCCATTTTCCATTCCGAGGCAAGGTTCGTCGAACGCGAAAATTATCGCTTCAGTCTTTCTGTTGATTTCGCTGTGACACAGCTAGGTTACGAACAAGGACATTATGTTTTGTATAACAAGATTGAAACACGCTTCACGTCCCAAAATGTCTGCCCCTCGTGCCCCCACATAAAATTATGGACTGCTTCGCTGCAGCTATGGATGCGTGCGCCGCGTCTAGCATTCGGCCACGGATCCATAGCTGCCAGTGCCTGCATATACTGGTCGTAGGAGCGCGTCTCGCGCGTCGCGCCGCCTCTGCCGCCGGAAACTGCGCGCAAGATCTGCCGTCGCACTTCGGCGTCAACACCTTCTTTCGGCAACGCTTCTCTAGTATCCCGTCTCATCTGGATCGGCAAGAGTGAAGTAGTTTGTTATGGTCAGGGATATCAGGCTGTATAGACAATCCAGTCTCACAGCTCGTCCGGCTAGATAGATAGATTGATAGATAATAGATAAATCGATAGATGCATATATATTAATATACTATAGAAATATAGAAGAGAGAGAGAAAGAGAAGAGAGAGAGATAAGAGAGGAGAGAAGAGAGAGAAGAGAGAGAGAGAGAGAGAGAGAGAGAGAGAGAGAGAGTTAGATAGATCGTCAGACAGTACAGGCAGATAGATATAAGGGTATTCCAGTCACTCCGGTTTTCGGTAATTCCTCGAGGGACGATGTTGGTGCGCACACATCACAGGCTTGTGTCAGCTATAGACAGCTAGCTACTCATCATAGCACCAGGAGCCACGCATGTGTGTAGTGGCTGTCACCGTGACCTCGGCTGAACTCCCGTGCGCAGTTTCCGGCGTCACACCCCCGCTGCCTCCGCGTAGCTTCGCGTGTCCAGCGCAAGATCTCAAATCTGTTGCCTGTTAGGCTAATAAGGTCGTGCCTAGATCGCTTCGTATGCACAAACTCACCGCCTGCAATGCAGGGTCGTGCTCCGAAGAAAGCAGCGTGGCAAGTATATAGCCGCTGTGAGAAGCATTCGAGCAAGCTAACCGGAAACCTGTCTAAAGCTAGTCGACCGACTCTGTGTGGAGAGGGAGAGGCACGATGGCAAGTTGTTCACACGGTTGTTTACACCGTCGTCATGGCAAACCGTCAATATTCTGTACGTCTGTGCTGCCAATAACGAGGCACGTTTACCGAATGTTTTTGTTCGTCCGGTCACCGAATCCGCGTAGGATGACGGAAAACCATTACACGATTAATTTCAGTGATGGTTAATTAGTCTCGTCAGTTTATGTAAAAGACATGACAGTGATACGTACGCAAAATTAAAAACAATATTTTTGTGAGAAAAATTGATCGTTTAATCATCTTTAAGGTATAGTACAATATTTTGTTATTTTCCTCAGAGAATAACGATAAAACGTAAAGCGATGTGTTGTGCAGCATCACATTGTAATGCACACCACACATACTCAAGCTTTCCCGTTGGTGAGTCTCTACACTTTCTTGCAATCATTATACACATATGTGTTTTTTCCTTCGTGTAATAACGCAGCACACATTAACTACAAAGCATATTTAATTGCGCAAATATTATGTACATGTTTCACAACTCATTTGTACAGAAGGCGTAATATATTATCATAACGGTCATTTCATATACACACGCTCACAGTGAACGGGTTTGCTTTGCATATAGCTATGAGAGAAAACGGATTAGGCCGCGGGCGCATTGCCGCAAGGCTGTGCCTATATGCACGCTACCTTCGCGGCCACACCACACACAAGCAAAGTTTGCCGTAACATAGCGATGCGAGATCGATCGTTCAGCCATGCTTGCGCGCGACGACGAATATCAGCAGAACATTATCTGTCGATAATTCCATGCTATGCGGTTACGATCAACAGCATCCCGACACCGCGCTCGCTTGGAATGCTCTTGATATATATATATATATATATATATATGTGTATATATATGTGATATGAGTCAAGAGCAAGATTCTTTAATTTATGCGCGGGTAAGTGTGGGCGGACACATGCCACAGCAATGGTATTACGCCTAAACTGCGTGCTAGTGCAAAAGCACCGAGCAAGTGAACAGTTGAGAAAGTTCTTCGTTCATTTAGATTAAAAGACGATAACACGGATTTTTCACAGAACGGTACCCGTGTACAGTTCGCGGCGGAAAATATATTTAATGTTGTATTCGGAAAATATTCATAATTCTCGGTGTGAATAGCGTTCCTGTAAGTTTCGCTTCAGTTGGAATACTCCCATAGATCGGTAAAACCTCCAGAATCTCGGGCTTGAGCATTAAATTTACAATTTTGCTTGTGCGGATAATCGTGTACCAAAACTCACGCCTACAAGGCGCAATAACTAGTTACAGAAGAAGCAGCAGCAATTGCTAACAAAAGCCTACAGGTAGCCTTGAAGGTAATATCTTACATAGCATCAGCAGTAACTACGCAAGCAAACTGTGCGACGATATCGTACTGCGAATAAGGCCAGCTTATACTGCGAGTTAACTATAGGAGAGGAGAGAGGGAGAGAAGAGATAGTTAGACAGGGGAGGGAGAGAGTAAGGGAGAGATAGAGTTAGAGAGGGGAGAGAGAGGAAGAGAGTGACAACGTGAGGGAGAAAAAACTCTGATGCATGCACGCATACGACAGCACATAATCCTGCAGTAGCGATCCAACAAAGTTTAGCACGTGATTCCAGCAGTGGTTGACCACAATTCATGGGACACATGTACGATACAGTCATCATGCTCATGCTCTGTGCACAGTTCCGTGTAGGGAGTGACTATTATCTCCCAACTTTGTGCTTTGTTTAAATACATTATGATAGTGGAATATTTCATGACGTCCTATAATGACAGATCTAGCATCGCTGTAGATTTAAACATCTTTACAGTCGTAACAGCTGCAGGATTATCTCAGACTCACGTATATATATATACACACACGCGCGCACATATATATATATATATATATATATATATATATATAATTATTTGCTCTGATACATTTGTAACATCGGAAACCGTTCGCCGTGTCATCACAGCTTTTACGTGGTCACGTGTCCAAGTGAGGATTCCGCGACCGTGCGTGGCGCATGCGCACTGATTACCACCGGAACTACTTCTTCGTTATCGCCTACGTCGATCTCTTCCTCTATCGCCGATGACGCTTCGGCATTTTCCGGCGAGCTGCATCGGCTACCTTCGCTGGCGTGACCCGAGCTCGGCGAATGGACATCTTCGTTTTCTTGATTTTCCTTGCCGCCTTCCGACATTGGCATCTCCTGCAAGACAAGCGATGCACATTAATATACGCCACGATTGCAACTGCCTCGATCACGCGCAGCATAACCTAAATATAAACCTATAAACCTAAATATACAATAAACATCAGCAAAAATTCATCGCTTCCAGTGATCCTTCCGCTTCCAATTACTAACCACAGAAATTTCGAATATAATCGTTTTATATATACATGCGGTAGTTCGTATTTGGATTGCTTCCGTGCATCCGCAATAGGGTTATACTTCGCCTTCATAAATAAATAGTTTCGCACATATGAGCCACCGAAAACGCACCATCTCATACAGCAGTAGCTGGGATTGTGTGCAATGCAGTGCAAGTATAGACAAAACACGATTAAACGACACAGCGGGCATTCAGGCTATACGTGTAGCAAGGAAAATATCAATGCTGCTGTCTGTGTTGTGCATATATTCTCAAAACAAAGCGACGCTATCTACGCGATACATATACTGCACTATGCGTCTCAGGAATGTGTGAAAAGAGTAGAATAATATATAGAGGGAAATTGGGTCGCATCCTTGGCAATTCTATAAAACGAGGAAATATGGTAGTAAACAAAACCTTTTACTCTTTCTTAATAACGATTCTTTGGACCTTAATCAGGTATATTCGTGAAGATGAATCAGAGACGAGCCCAGCGGGCACACTATATGAATGTTGCGTTGAATTCACCTTAGCACTCTAATCGACTCGATTTGCATCGACGTTTGAGATATTAAGAATCTCTAAAGTACTCGTATGTACGCTGATGTAGGAAGTTGTTTTAATCAGAGCTATTCCTGAGTATGATATAATATATAATATAATATATATATTTAATATATAATTCCTAACTAGTCGATAACCCGCGGCCGCGCGTGGCGCTCCGATCTGTTTGTGTTTGTTGTGCGTTGCCCTGCGCACAGAGAGATCGCGGTGTGATCCTCTGCAACAGAGCTTCCAGAAAAAGCTTTGCTTTGGCTTCGGGTCTCACGACTACGGGTTATACCAACGCCCTGCCGTGGGCGCGTGAGCCACATCAATAGAGCGCGGTGGCACCGTTTATTTTTGTTCGCAAATATTGGGCTATTAGACCGCTGTCGCCTCGAAACAAAAGCTGCCATCAAACCCCGGTATAAGCCTCATTATAAGTTGATTAGGCCCTATATTCATAGCGCAGCGCGGCAACACGCACACGTCTCGTGCGGTGCTCTAAACAAACGTACGGGCATGACCTAATATTCGAGGTGATTTTTATTTCACGGCGCTGTCACACGTGCCCCGCTATGTGAGCCTACGGCAAGGCATCGGCCCAGCGTGAGAGAACCTACTGTGATGGAATGCAAGTATTTTTAAGACAAAGGGTTTCTTCGTGTGGAATCCGGCCTCCCGTGCGCACCCTCGTGTCTGCACTGCGTCACGCCACGGCACGTATTATTAACATGGTGACGCAACAATCCATAATAGAAACACAGTCAGTTGAGTAAACGAGTCTACGTGCAACCCGCTACATATATTACATACAACGTATACGATCCCATGTACTATACAATATTCTATAACAATCTGGCAGCAGTATCGATGCGCGCGCGTTCGTTCGTGCGTACACGGATGTAGGCCTACGTGGTTATAATGCAGTACCGGTTAATATAGCACCCGAATTATTAGCGAAGGCATTACGCTTGCATAGGTGACACGTCAAATGATGAAGATACATCCCGCGGGAGCAGCCAAACACCAGGTGGCGCTGTACATGGCGCAACATTCCCGCTTCTGCACTCATCACATGACGTAGGAACAGCCGAACCGAGATCGGAAACCCGGATTGAATCCCTGATTGGGAACCGCGCCCGCACGCGCATGTCTCCGTGCGTCCGCGAGCCCCGCATATAAAAACGCCCCGCGTTTTTGAAGTCGCACGCGTAAGAGCCTTCGTTAAGCCCGCGCGTCAACGCCGCGAAACAAATTCGAACCGACACCGCAAAACTCCCGAGGCGTCACTGCGGCGCGTATTCCTTGTCCTTTCCGCGTATACACGTCCTACATACACGCCCCGGCTCCGTGGCACCGCGCTGTCATCCACCCCACGACGTTAGACTTGCTGCTTCCCTACACTTGTGGCTATTCTATATTCGTGACTACACATGTACTGACACACTATACGTGTATTACACCCGTGGCGCTTTCGCGTTAACAATTAATGTTATCCGAGAACAGCAAATGTTGCTGTCAGACGCATGTGTCTGAAGTAAGGGGATGACGGGGCATGTGAAGACGTTAGTGAAGTGAAATATATATATATATATATATATATATACATATTATATATACACATAGCCGAATATAGGTAAGGGAGGAGATGGCAGGTGAGAGAGGAGATGGCAGGTAAGGAAGGGGATGGCAGGTGAGGGAGGAGATGGCAGGTAAGAGAGGAGATGGCAGGTAAGAGAGGAGATGGCAGGTAAGAGAGGAGATGACAGGTGAGAGAGGAGATGACAGGTGAGAGAGGAGATGACAGGTGAGAGAGGAGATGGCAGGTGAGAGAGGAGATGGCAGGTGAGGGAGGAGATGGCAGGTAAGAGAGGAGATGACAGGTGAGAGAGGAGATGACAGGTGAGGGAGGAGATGGCAGGTGAGGGAGGAGATGGCAGGTAAGAGAGGAGATGGCAGGTGAGGGAGGAGATGGCAGGTAAGAGAGGAGATGGCAGGTAAGGAAGGGGATGGCAGGTGAGGGAGGAGATGGCAGGTAAGAGAGGAGATGGCAGGTAAGGAAGGGGATGGCAGGTGAGGGAGGAGATGGCAGGTAAGAGAGGAGATGGCAGGTAAGGAAGGGGATGGCAGGTGAGGGAGGAGATGGCAGGTAAGAGAGGAGATGGCAGGTAAGGAAGGGGATGGCAGGTGAGGGAGGAGATGGAAGATAAGAGAGGAGATGGCAGGTGAGGGAGGAGATGGCAGGTAAGAGAGGAGATGGCAGGTAAGAGAGGAGATGGCAGGTAAGAGAGGAGATGGCAGGTAAGAGAGGAGATGGCAGGTAAAAGGAGATGGCGGATGAGA